ACAAACAAAGATGTTGTGTCCGCCAAAAACTAAAATAAATAAATAAATAAAAAAAAAAAAAAAAAAAAAGATTGGTGTTTTCTTTGTAGAAGGTTTAAAAGTATTGATTTGACTTATGGCAATTCAGATTTTTTTTAAATGGGTTGTTCCTTATAGTAATTTTTTTACTTCTGTGTTTTCAAATTTATTGAATTAGATTGTTTATGCTCTTTGCTTAATGGTGTTGTAGTTTTGTCTTAATTTCTCATTCTCAGATTTGTTTTTTGTTTTTTCTTTCTTTGGTTTTATTAGTCTTTTCAAGGCCTCGTTAATCCTTTCTATTATGTGTTTATTTTTAATTTTTTTAGTTGTATATGGACATAACATCTATATTTTATTTATTTATTTTTAGGTGGTGCTGAGGATCAAACCTAGCACCTCACACGTGCAAAGCAAGCACTCTACCACTGAGCTACAATCCCAACCCTATTATGTTTATTTTCAATTTAAATAATTTTATTCCCTAATGCTTTTGCTTTCTTCTTTCTACTTTGAATTCTCTTTGTCTAATGGTTTTGGAGGGTGGGGAGAGAAAGAAAAAGAAAGAAATATGGGATTGCATTTTGTTGCCCATGCTGGTTTTGTATTTCCTCCCACTTAGTGATCCTCCCACTTAAGCCTCTTAAGTATGATGGGCATACAGGTGTATACCACTTTGCTGGGCTTAGTGTTTTATGTTGTATGTTTAACACTTTAATTTCTAGCTCTTTCTTTCCCAGTGTAAATATTGAAGGCTCTATTTTTTTTTGTGTGTGTAAGTGTACTGTTTTAGGCTATATCCTAGAAATATTGATAAATACTATTTTTTTAAAATATGGGGTAGTTCTCTTTTTCTAATTATCTTATTACTTTTATCGTTTGAATTTCAGAGTTTTGGGGCTTTTCTTCTAATCTACCTTTTATCAATTACTCTGTACATGCACATTTGGTTTTTATGTTCCCAATACTTTGGATTTTATGACTTGACATGTTATCAAAATCTGTAGTTTCAATGTGTGTTAGAAAATATATTCTTCAACTCTTAGGTACTGAGTGTTATATATGTATATTGTTCAATTATATTACCTTTTTTTTTAAAAAAAGTATTGATTACTGAGAGATAAACTTTCTAGAAATGTGAATTTGTGTCTTCTAAATTTTGGCTTTCTGTAATTCGAGATCATATTATTAGTTACATACATGTTTAGACTCATGTCCTGGTTAGTTGAACACTTTAAAAAATCATATATATGGCCTCCTTTTATCTCTCTCCTACTGATAACTTTTTGCTGTAATGTCTCTTTTTGTCTAGTATCAAAATGGCTTAGTATTTATTTATTTATTTATTTATGTTGGTGGTAGGGGATGGTATTAGTCTCTACTTTCTTTTTCTGATGTTTTATATAAATTCAGGTAAGAATTTTCTTAAAGAGAAAAAACCCCCCACAAATTTAGAAAGAATCAACAAATGTAAGTATATATTTGCAAAAAAAGATTATAACATATGCAGATTTTCATAATACTGGTAATTAAAAACAAGGAAAACAGACCCATGTAAATAGTTACTAAATACATACCAAACCTACCCATAGAGTAGCATTTTAAAGACAAAAAAGCCAGGTATATGCAACTGTAATTCCAGTGACTCTGGAAGCTGAGGCAGGAGGATCAAGATCAGCTGTGACAATTTAGCCAGTCCTGTCTCAAAATAAAAAGGACTGGGATTGTGGCTCAGCAGTAGAGCACTCGCCTAGCATGAGCAAGGCACTGGGTTTGATCCTCAGCATCATATAAAAATAAATAAATAAAAATAAAGGTATTGTGTCCACCTACAACTACAAAAAATATTGAAAAAAAAAATTACTGGGGGATGTAATTTAGTGGTAAAGCACCCCTGGATTTAATCTCCAATAAAAAAGAAAAAAACAAAAACAAAAACAAAACTCAAACCCCAAAACAAAAGATTATTATTAATCACCTTATTCACATAAATTTGAATTTTGATATATGCATGCATTGTATAGAAAATATAATTAATCTAATTGTTGAATGTAGAAATAGAAAACATGGACAATAATGTGAAAAAATCAATTATCAAAAGTCCACCTAAAAGACACCTATGCTAGATGTTTTCACTATTACAAGTTTATTAGACCTTAAAGTCATAGTTAACTGTAGTCTTCTAAAGGTTTTATAGTTTTATTTTCACATTGACATCCTTTAGCAACCTGGAATGATACTGTTTCACCAAATAGGAAAGAAAGGTTTGTACATATCATTGGTGCCAAACCAGATGAAGGCAGTACAGAAAAAAGATAATTGTAGACAAACTATGTTTATAAACACAGATGTAAAATTACTAAATAAAATCAAAGCAGTTTCAGCTGTATATTTAAAAAAACACAGCTGTATACTTAAAAAAAACAAGGTTGATCTCTAAATATAAAAAAAGGGTTCACCTTCTAAAGTCTACTCAAGAAATAGGCCATGTTAAAAGACGCCCCCCCATAAATAAATAAAAGCCCCCCAATTCTCTATATAAGATTATAGTTAATAGTTCCATCTATTATGTATGATAGTACCTGTTATTCACATTTTTGCCGACCTATGGTTGTTTCAGATTTTTAAATTTTTGGTATATTTGGTTGATAAATAATTGAATATCCCTGTTAATTTGTATTTCTGTGATTTATTGTAAGGTGATAAACGTTTTTGTTTACCAGCAATTTGTGTTCAACCACACTGAAAGTTTTATATGGAATCACACTTACTGTATAATTTATCTACCCAAATATGAGGCCTGTTTTAGTCATTTTTGTATCTCCAGCATCCTGTAAAATGCTTGGCATGTAGGGAATAGTCAGTGATTAGTAAACATTGAATATTGAGAAGAAATTTGTGATGTAAGCAACCTATTTTTGAATGCCTGGAAATAGAATAGTTTTGCCATGTCAAAGGAATATGATAAGTACAAGGAGCTGAGATTTGTATTCTCACAGGTTCCGGGGGGAAAAAAATTTCAGGGGTACTTAATTTATGTTACTACTGTAGGCTCCCATAAAATTTGTGTACCTGGTAATCCTTATTATCTTTAATCTTAATTATTCATGATCTTACAGTATTCATTTGCTTTATGCTTTTAGGGTATATGCTACTACTTCAGGGCAAGATATTATTCATTTTTATTTTGAAAAGACTGTCATCCTTTGTTGCTAACACACTATTTTGACAGTCATATTCTTTTTTTTTTTTGTTACTGGGGATAGAACCTGGGGCACTTAACCACTGAGCCACATCCCCAGCCCTTTTTTGATAGTTAGAGGCAGGGCCTTGCTAAGTTTCTAAGGCTGGCTTTGAACTTGTCATGCTCCTGCCTCACCCTCCTGAGTTGCTGGGATCACAGGGGTGCACCACTGCGCCCAGCTGACAATCATATGCTTACCAAAAGGAAATTTTACAGTTTCTTTACCTTGTCTTTTTTTTTTTTTTTTTAAATAGAGCATTGTATTTGTACATAGCATCTGGGTTCCTTTTGACATAATTATACATACAAGGAATTTATTTTCAATCCCTATTTCTCCTTCCCTTTCCTCCCCTACTTCCTCCCCCTTTTCTTTCTCCTCTCTTCTACTGATCTTTCTTTCACACCCTTTTTATTATTTTTGATTGATACTTTTTCCATATACATAAATGAGATATTCCTTTTTTGGCCATTTATATTTGTATATAACATGACTCTGTTAGATTTGTTTCTTGTCCCCCCCCCATCCCTTTCTCCCTCCCTCTCTTCTACTCCACTGTCTTCTCTATATCTTTATTGTATCAGATCCCCTCCCTGACTACCTTTTCCCCTTAATTTTGCTTTAATGTCCACATATGAGAGAAAACATTTGACCCTTGATTTCCTGAGTCTGGCTGCATGGTTTTCTCCATTTCCATCCATTTCTTGGCAAATACCATTTTCTTAATCCAGTCATATATTTTTGTGTACCTCAATTGATTTCATAATTTAGCTATTGTGGATTGTGTGGCTGTATTGCTGTAGTATGCCGATTTTAATTCTTTTGGATAAAGACCAAGGAGTGGGATAGCTGGGTCATATGGTGGTTCCATTCCTATTTTTTTGTTTTTTTAAACAGAGACTTGACATTTATTGTGCAGTTTTATCCCCAGCAGAACATGTGGCATTCTAGAATATATTAGGTAATAAAATCAATACTCCAATGAGACCATTCCTAGTTTTTTGAGGCATCTCCCCACTACTTTCCAAAGCGATCATACTAATTTTCAGTCCCACCAACAATGTTTGAGTGCACCTTTTCCCCCACATTCTCACCAGCATTTATTATTATTTGTATTCCTGACAATTGCCATTCTTCTGACTGGAGTGAGTTGAAGTCTTAAGTAGTTTTTCTTTTCAGTTTTGCAGTTATGTTCATAGGATTAAAATATCTAGATTTCTGGTCTTTTAGATAAGTAGAATATTGCTTAGAGGAAGATGTATATATAAAAGTATTCTTTAAGAACCAAACTGGGTTATAAAATAGCAGTAGTTTAGTGTCAGTAATGAGGCAGAGGCATAGTTTATATGCTTATAATTTGAGTGTCAGGTTATTTGGAGGGCTGTGTAGTTTGATGAGATTTTACATACTTTTGCTTTTTTTTTTGTACCAGGGATTGAACTCAGGAGCACTTAACCACTGAGTCACATCCACAGTCCTTCTTTATATTTTATTTGGAGACAGGCTCTTGCTGAGTTCTCAGAGCCTTACTAAGTTGCTGAGGCTGGTTTTGAACTTGTGATCCTCTTGCCTCAGTCTCCTGAGCCACTGGGATTATAGGCATGCACTGTGCTGGGCTATTTTGGCTTAATTCTTAATCATAATTTGAATTTTTATTGTGTAAGTAATACTCATATCTATTGCATATGTAATTTGCATCACATTTCTAAGAAAGTAATTGATGTTGCTCTTTTGTTTCAGCTAAACCATTTACTTCTAAAGTGAAACAAATGCGATTACATAGAGAAGACTTTGAAATATTAAAGGTGATTGGTCGAGGAGCTTTTGGGGAGGTAAGAGATGAAGATTTTATAGAATGTTTGCTAATTGTTTTAGAAGGTGTTTAATACAGTTGTGAGATAATTTAACTGAAATATTTCCTTGCTGTTGTAATTGATGTGGTTGATTGGAAAATATAAGTCTTAAATGAAATATTTCTCTATCAGTTGTTTTCTAAGATGTTTCATATGTTAATGTAAATATGATTAATTTTCTGGACTCTTCTTTGGTCTGATTGTGCTTCCTTGTGCTAAACTGTTCTAAATTAGTTTGTAGGAACTTTTGATATCTGATAGTACATATGACCTGACTTCTTCCCCCACCAGCCCGTCTCTCCTTCCATTGTATTTTCATATTATTTTGAATCAATTTTTCAATTTCTACTCATTTATAATCTCCCCACCATGCACTGCTGCTCAAATTTGAATTTGTTTTGCATTGAAATTTGAAATCAGTTTGATAATTAAAATCTTAATATTGAGGCAGCTAATCCATGGATATGGTATATTCCTTCATTTATTTAGGGCTCTATAAATTTCAATAAATTTTCAGTCCATATAGAGTATTTCTGCATATTTCTGCATATTTATTCCTGGATGTGTGATATTCTTGATGTTATTTTAATTATAATGGTTTATTAAATTCCATTTACTAATTATTGAAAATATAATTGCAATTAATTGAATCTTATTTATTGCCCTTAGAGCTAGCAATTGTGTTAGTCAGCTTTGCATTACTGTGACCAAAATACCTGGGAAAGTTTATTTTGGCTCACAGTTTCAGAGTGTTATTCCATGGTGGTCTGATTCCATTGCTCTGGGCCCAAAGTGAGGCAGAACATCAGTACATCAGGTAAGGCAGGGGGTGGGGTGGAGAAACTCTGCTTACTTCAAGGCAGCCAGGCCTGGAAGCAGAGTAAAAAGAGGCTGAAGGGCTGCAGGGAAGATGAACCCTTCCAGGGCATGTCCCCAGTGATCCACCTCCTTACCAACTGCTTACAGTTACTCAGTTCGTTCAAAGTAGGATGTTTTGATTAGGCTGCAGCTCTCATAACCCAGTCATTTCACCTCTGAGTATCCCTGCATTAAGATAGTATCTTTTAGGGGACACATCATATCTAAACCATAACATTCTGCTGCTGGCCCCCAAAAGCCCATGTCCATCTCACAATGCAGTGTGTCCCCATAATATTAACAGTTTCAGCATTTCCCAAAAGTTCAAGTCCAAAGTCTTATCTGAGTACTCAAGGCAGACTCTTGGCTGTGAACTCTATCCAAAACAAGTTACATATTCCAGTACACAATGGCACATAATGATTGTTTCATTTCAAAAGAGAAGAAGAGGGTCATAGAAAGAAGGGATGGAACCAATGAAACCAAGCTATGCAAACAAGTCCCACAACTCCACGTACATCATCTAGGACATAGTGGAGAATTATGCTCTTCAAAGGAGTTGGGTAGTTCCTCACTTTAGACTTTGCCTATTGCAGCCCACATGGCCTCTCTTTTAGCCTGGCTCTCTCTGCAGCCAGCAACTTTTCTTGGCACACTGTCCACATTACTATAATCTCTTAATTCCTTGGGCCTCTATTCTAGCTTTGGCTTCACCTTCACAGCTTCATGCATCACCCTCTCAAGGGGCAGCCCCGTAGGAATTCTGGCCCTCCTATACTTTGCCTACCCTCTAGGGCTTCTTTGAAATCTCAATAGAAGCTTCCATGACCCCTTAACTTCAGCATCCTACATTCCTGCAGAACCAGCACCACATGCATGCTACCAAGGTCTGCTGTCAGCTTGTACAGTAGCTGAGCCTCCTGGGATCACAGCTTCTGCCACCTCTGAGTGCCTGCCTGCAATGCCAATTATGGTAAAATAACCCCACCCACTTCCCATTGTGAGCAATGTGCCCTCAGGATTTTTTCCTTTAGTTTTCCCTTCTATAACATTGAACCTGTAATGGGTATGCTCTTGCAAATTCCTGTGATGTCCTCAAGACATCTTTCCTGTTGTATCTGCAAAGTACTTAACTTCTCTTTAGTTTCATAATGTCTTTAACAGCACATCTTCCTTTGCCCCTATTTTCCAAGCGCTTTTTTGGTCAAAATGTAAGTTTTTTTTTAAAAAAATATAGTTTTAGTTGTCAATTTTATTGTTGTTTTATTCATTCTTTTATATATGATACTGAGAATCGAACCCAGTGCCTCACATGTGCTAGGTAAGTGCTCTACTACTGAGCCATAATCCTAGCCCAAACTGCAAGTTTTTAAGACTGCAAAGTCTTGTCCCACTTGCCTACAGTTATCACCCTGTTAATTCATGCAAGCTAGAATGGACTGATTAGGTTTCAACCGTCATAATCTAATCATTTTACCTCTGAATATTCTTGCATCAATCAACATAGGAGCTTTTGGGGGACACCTCATATTCAAACATAACAAGTTGAGTTGATTATATGTTTTTTTTTAAATATTTTTTTTAGTTGTTGATGGACCTTTTATTTTATTTGCTTATTGTTTATATGTGGTGCTGGGACTTGAACCTAGTGCCTCACGTGTAACAAGGCAAGTGCTCTACCACTGAGCTACAACTCCAGCCCCTTGATTATACTTTTAAAATCATGAATTTTGTTGAATTTTTTAAAAAATATTTTTATTAGTTGTTGACAAATTTTAAAATTTTATTTATTTATTGGTATGTGGTGCTGAGAATCGAACCCAGTGCTTCACACATGTTAGGCAAGTGCTCTACCACTGAGCCACAATCCCAGCCTGAATTTTGTTGAATTTTAATAAAATACTTTTTATCTGCATCATTTGAGACACTTGTATTCTTTTTTCCTTTACTTGGTTATTGTGTTGAATTATACATGTTTATTTATTTATTTTCAAAAGTTGAACAAATAAATTTGTATTCCTAAAATAAGCCCAGCTTCATTATTATCTATTATTATTTTTTAATGTATTAGTGGATTTGATGTGCTGTTGCTTTTATCTGTTTGTCCCCCCTTTGTTAGATTTTTTCGCCTATTTCTTGAGAGAAATTGGTCTGTAATTTTCTTGCTTCAAATGTCCTGATCAGATTTTGGTATCTTGATTATGTTGGTCCCATAAGAAGAGGGAAGTAAGTACTCCCTCTTGTTTTTTTCCTTACATGCTTATAGGTTTTCATTTATGAAGCTATTTGGCTTGGAAGTTGCTGGTTCGACAGTCTAACATAATATATTTAATTTTTAAAAATGGAAACAAGACTACTTTCTGTTATGTGTCAATTTTGATAAGTTTATCTGTATCATTTCATTTTCAAAACTTAATACCATATGGATCATGTGTTGATTCAAATGAACATTTATTAATCCTATTTTTGATTTGTCTTGCTAGCGGCTTATCAGTTTTATTTTCTTTTCAATTAATTAATTTCTGGCTTTTTGAGTTTTGCTACTGTGAGCTTGTTTTCTGCTTCATTAATTTCTGCTGTTTAATATTTTCTTCTACTCTTTGGTTTTCAATTACTGTATTTTTTTCTAATTCATTGAAATGGATTAGAACATTGGTTTCTAGCCTTTTTCTTTTATTGGAAACATTATAGCTATTCAGAGTAGTTGGGTTCATTTTGACAAAATCATAACATGCATGGAATTTGATTTCAGTCTTCCGTTTCCTGTGTTTCCCCTTTCTCCCCACCTTCTCCTTTATTTTACTGATCTTCCTTACTCTTATTTGTTTGTTTGTTTGTTTATTTATTTAGGTACTGGGGATTGAACTCAGGAGCACTCAACCACTGAGCCACATTCCCAGCCCTATTTTGTATTTTATTTAGAGACCAGGTCTCACTGAGTTGCTTAGCGCCTCCCTGCCTCCCCATTGCTGAGGCTGATTAGCCTCCCAAGCTGCAGATTATAGGCGTGCACCACCATGTCCGGCTCATTTATTTATTTTTGATTGGTTCTTTCTACTTAAGAATAAAGGTGAAATTCCCTGTGGTATATTTATATATGCAGGGACTATATATGTAAAATGATTTAATTTTTTTATACGTAATATGATTTTGTTAAATTCATTACATAGTTTCTCTCCTTTATCATCCTTGCTCCTTCCTTTTCCATCTCTTTTCTCATACTCCACTGATTTTTCCTGTAGCTTTATGATACCTGATTTCCCCCTCCTTATTTCCTTTATTTTGCTTTACCTTCCACATAGTAGAAAACATGGTTCTTGATTTTCTGCGACTGCCTTGTTCTTTCCATCTATTTACCAGAAAATGCTATAATTTCATTCTTCTTTATGTTTGAGTAAAATGCCATTATGTATATATTCCACATTTTAAAAATCTGTTCATTTATCGATGGTTTATCACCTCATTTTAAATGTACATTTAAGGCTGTGTATTTTTTTCTAAGCAATGTTAGCTACAGCTGACCAGTTTTGATACATTGTATTTTCATTATTGTTTTGCCCCCAAATGCAGTGTCATTTCCAATGCGATTTTATATTTTAAATGTGTTTTGTGTTGCATCTGAGAGTTTAGAAGCTTATTTCTCACTTTTTAAACATTTGGAGGATTTTCATTGAGTTATATAATTTTCAAGTGTTTAAAGGATATATGCTGTATGATAGTAGTCCTTTGAGATTTGCTGTGTAGTATTCTATAAATATCAGGTCAAAATCATTAATTTTGCTTAAATTTTTCATTTTCTTTGTGTTTTCTCTTGATCTGTCATTTCCTGAGAGGATTTGCTTTTTTTTTTTTTTTTTTTTGGTAATTATTCCTCTCAGTTTTTGCTGATAACAAATAGTTATATCTTTCTGATTAACTCTTTTATCATTATCGTATGGAATGTTCTCTGTAACCTCTATAGTACTTTTTTTTGATAAAAATTTTTAATCTGATATTAATAGAGCCTTGTAATTCTTTATTTTTTATTTTAAAATATTTATTCTTAAGTTTAAATATTTTTATTTTACATTTATGTGGTGCTGAGGATCGAACCCGGGGTGTCTTATGCATGCTAGGCGAGC